CCCTTAGCCTTGTCTTTCACATCAAAATTACCAGTTTTAAATCGATTGAACCAACGTTCACAAGTGTCTTGAGATGGTGCATGTTCACCGTAAGCTTCTACAAGTATTCAATAAGTTTGAGTAGCAGTTTTCTTCAAAATGAAGTAATGAATCAAAACCTCCCGCAAATGATCTTTTTTGGTACGAAATTCGACATTTTTAAAGCAGAAAAGGACTATGATATTTACACTCAACAATATTTGAGGAGCATTGAAAATTATATTATTAATAATATTAAAGGAAATATTTGTTATTATATAATAATTAATAAAATAATTTATAAAATTTTATTATATTAATATTATATGTATTATACATATTATATTACAACATATCATAATCATATACAGGGTGTCTTAAAAATATGGGAACCTCCCAATATCTTTTTATAGTGAGGTTTTTCGATAAAACTTTCAAAACAAAAGTTGTAGGATTTCAAAAGCTGAATCTGATGGTGACCTTTAAATTGACCTTAAGTTTGATATTGAAGGCCATTTCAAAGTCAACTTTATTTTTTCAAGTTGAACATGCATATTTTCATGACGGATTCGGAATTTACGTCAAAAACTGAGAAACTTCTGTCTGAAACATTTTTTTAGAAAATGCTCCCTTTGACCTTGAAATGACCTTCAAACTTCACGGTTTTTCTTAAAAATATGGGAACAATGCCATCAGCGGTCACGCAATAGCGGATGCTTTGACTTCGAAATGACCCCCATGGTCATCCTGACTCAAGGGTCAGGGTTTCCATTAAAAAAATATTAATTAATTAAAAATACTAATTAAAAAAATCCCATTAAAAATATGGAAACCTTTGAATATCTTTTTATAGTAACGTTTTTCGATAAAATTTTCAAAACAAACGTTGTAGGATTTCAGAAGCTGAATCTGGTGACCTTAAAATTGACCTTGAAAGTCATTTCGAGGTGAGCTTAATTTTTTTAAGGAGCACCCTGACCCTTGGGTCAGGATGACCATCGGGGGTCATTTCGAAGTCAAAGCATCCGCTATTGCGCGACGCTGATGGCATTGTTCCCATATTTTTAAGAAAAACCGTGAAGTTTGAAGGTCATTTTAAGGTCAAAGGGAGCATTTTCTGAAAAAATGTTTCCGACAAAAGCTTCTCAGTTTTTGGCGTAGATTCCGAATCCGTCATGAAAATATGCATGTTCAATTTGAAAAAATAAAGTTGACCTTGAAATAGCCTTCAAGGTCAAACTTAAGATCAATTTTAAAGTAACCATCAGATTCAGCTTTTGAAATCCTACAACTTTTGTTTTGAAAGTTTTATCGAAAAACCTCACTATAAAAAAATATTCAGGGGTTCCCATATTTTTAATAATCCCTGTATAATCTAATAGACGCGATTTGATTTTGCTGAATTGCTAATCTCAAAAAGATTCAATTAGTGTCAACTTACTCGATTATCTAGATGGCGTTCACTCGAATCAGCTACGTCTCTATTATTTTATTCTCTATTATTTCTCAAGCATGTAATTTTAAGGACATATTCTTTAGATATTATACTTCCCAAATAAATATTTTAAATAAATATATTAAACGTCAGATGTACAAATGAATAATCCAAAATTTTAGGCTAAAAAAATTCAAGATTTACTTAAAAAAATTAAAATAACTTTTTCAATAAAAGTATTTGCCGTTTCTTTTTATAACTTTAAACCATCTTTTGGACAGTTTATGGATTCCATTTCGGAAAAATACTGTGTTTGACTACGATGAAGTCATCAAGATATTTTTGGATCTTATTCACTGATTGGAAGTGCGTATCGGATAAGATGTGTTGTATCGACTGTAATAATCAGAAGTTATATCTGATATCGTAGTTATATTGCTCCGATCGATACAAAACTAAAAGAACTTTCTACTACTAATAATAATTTAGAAATGCTATTTTGAGAATAATATTTTGAGAATAATATAATACATTTAGAGTATTAGTATACATTAATCTTATTGTTCATGTTGGTGAGAGTTACTTGTTGACATTTTGTCAGATTTGATAATTTTTGTTCTGAAAATTATTAAAAACTTCTGCGAAGAGCAAAATTTGGTGAGTTTAAACAACCTATAAGATAACCTGTAAGACAACTTATAAAAGTCTACAGTAGGTCTTAAATCGCAATAAATTGACCATTCACATTCGAATGTGAGGAGAATAATCGACTATGATTAGTCAATTAAAGAACATAAAAGTTACGTGATTGACTTTTGGAAAATAGATATGATTAGTAGATCCAAAAGTATAGACCAATCAAAGGGGATTTTTACTCAATGGTCGTATAACTATTGTGTTTGCTGAATGCAACCTTATACTCACTTGCATACAGATACTCCTTGAGTATTATTTAAAACTGCAATCAGAACTCCTGGAATTTAAAAAAAAAATGTCGGTTAGGACTTTGGTTAGATAAATTTCGGACGATTGGCATTTCAGGTAGGGTGTGTGAAGTTAGTATTTTAACTATAGTATTCAATAGTTTTGATAAGAATTCTAGCTACTTTTTGAAGAGTATAAGAATATTTTTATGTTTACTAAAAGAGTTCTAGCGATTAACAGTACTAAAATAGCGGTTAAAAATGGGGTGTTAACATTACACCCAACATCACGATAGAATAGTTCTGAATAAATCATTTGATGTCCTTTGACAAGTACTAGAGTTCTTGATGGAAAAAATATTTTTATTTCTTTTTCAAATAAATAAAAACAATGAAGAAAATTGATATCAAGCTCAAATAGTTCTGAATAGCTTATTTGATTCCTTTTGAGTTTTAGAACTCTTGATAAATAAAAAAATTAAATGTTCAGAATTATTAAAAAATTATAATTTTGAAAGTTATGCGGTGGCAGACATTTGACGTCTAATAATTTTTTAATTAATGATCGCATTGTCTTTAGCCATTATAATTTCTTTCAGAACTCTTTGAATATTATTCAAAACTGCAAACAGAACTTCTCGAACTCTTAAAAAATTTTTCGGTTCGGACTGAGAAAAATTTTGTTCAACTGGCATTTAAGATGGAATAAGTTCTAAAAGGTTGATTAACTCGCTTTTGATTATTATAATTTATTTCAGAACTTTTTAAGTACCATCTAAAACTGCAATCAGAACTTCTGGAATTCTTAAAAAAATTTTTATTGAAACAGGCAAATTTTGGATGATATTCAAGTTCGAATAGGTTTTAAATGGTTAGTCGGATTGCTTTCGACCATTATAATTTTTTTCAGCATTCTTTCAGTTCAAAGCTGCAACCAGAATTCCTGGATCTCTTTAAAATAATTTCCAGCTTAACGAAATTTTTCTAAGTCCTAACTGAAAATTTGTTTTAAAAACTTCTAGAAGTTCTGATTGCAGTTTTTGATAGTTCTCAAAAAGTTCTGAGAGAAGTTATAATAGTCGAAAACGACCCGACTAACCGTTTAGAACTTACTGGATGTTGAATCTGGATCTTTGATCTGACAACATTTATATATATATATATATATATATATATATATATATATATATATATATATATATATATATA